AAATATTCCAGTCTCCTAATCTTGGTGAGTTTCTCTGGTCCTTAAATCCTGCCTGTGGAGACTTCGTTGCTGTTCCTCCTTTGACTAGGAACTGTTCCTGCCTTTTACAGTTCAGGAGACAGCAATCTGCCTGCAATGCAGGAGACCTGGGTTCCACCCCCGGGTTGGGAAGGTCCTCTGGAGAAGGAAGTGGCAACCCACTCCAGTACTCTTGCCTGGAGAATCCCGCGGACAGAGGAGCTTGGTAGGCTGCATGCAGTCCATGGGCTTGCAGAGTCAGACACGACTGAGTGACTTCACCTCACCCACCGTACCGTAATTATTATCATTCTCTTATTTGCGTAACTGTTGATGTTGACGGCTGCCTTCTGGAACTGAGAGAAGACCACTGAGGCTGGAGTCTTGCCTATAAGGAACAAAGTGAATGTGAAGTCGCTCAGTCACGTCCGACTCTTTGCGACCCCATGGACTGTAACCTACCAGGATCCTCTGTTCATAGGATTCTCCAGGCAAGAATATTGGGAGTAGGTTGTCATTTCCTTCCCCAGGGGATCTTCCCGACTCAGGGATCGAGCCCGGGTCTACCACATTGCGGGCAGACGCTTTGCCGTCTGAGCCTCCAGGAAAGCCAAAGACACAAAAAGGGGACAGAAAAGCCTCCGCGCCCAGGAGTCCCATCGGGCCGTGCTCAGCATCCAAAAGTGTTTCCTCTGCTGTTGCGAGTCTTTTCGTAGCCCTTGGGAATCACGAACGTTCGTCCAGTGTACTTCGGCTGTTACACAGGTTTCCCATCACAGCCGTGTGCTGACCGCAAACTTCTGTTAACGGAAGCTCTCTGCCAGCGCCGAGGAAAGTCCCGCGCGGCCCAGGCTCTGAGCATGCGCAAGAGGTCGGTCCCGCCGGGCCCCCAGGCGCCGCCTCCCTCCCTCACGACATCGGGAAGTCTGCGCGAGTTAGGGCGCGTGCGCAGACGGGGCCGGGGCGGCGGGGGAGGGGGGTAGGGGGACGCCTGCAGAGCGCATGGGCAGAGCCAGTGTACGTCCGTTTGTCCGGAGCGAAGGGGAGAGAGTGGGCGCCATCTTCTTCTGGGCTCGCTGAGGGCTCTCCCGGCTCTGGGGAGGCTGCTACGGTCGAGGAGTGCTCCCCACCCCCAGCCTTGGGGTTCCGACTCGGCGGCAGCGGTGTGTGTTTGATCTCCCGAGTGCGAAGCAGTTACCGCAGGGGCGTCGGGCGTGGGGAGGGCTTGGCGGCCGGGAACGAAGCGCAGGGAAAGGCGGGGCCGCGCCAGCAGCGAGCGTAGCTTCTGCCGTCAGGGCACCCTCTTTTCCCTGCTAAGCGCCCCCGACTTCCCCGGCACCCTCCATGTGGTGTTGTGCATGCCCTTGCCAGTCGGCTTGAGAGAGTGGAGATCTGGAAGGATTCGTAGGTACTGGTTTTTCTTTGCTATGTCATCGTAGTCAGTGGTGGCAGGAAAAGCGCTTGGAGGCCCGGCTAGTTTTAGGGTGAGGGGAGCCCGAATGTTTAGATGTAGGGACAGCTCACCCTTGGGCGAGTCGGGGCGGAATGTTTGCCCTTGAGCCGGTGTACCGGAAAGGCACGGAGGTTGGGTGGTCCAGGTTGATTTGAAGGCTGATTTGGCTGAAGGTCTGTCTGGCAAGAGCATCGGATCCCACGTAGAAACTTTGGCCTGGAGCAAAAGAAGGAAGCTCTGACCCCTGGGAGTATGGACAAAGGCTTTTTGGGCTATAGAAGCGATGCCTTCGGATGACCCCCGTTTGAGGAGGATGGATGGTAACGGGAACTCCTGTGCCGTGTGGATTCGTCTTCATTTCCAGTTTCCGCTGGGGACTCGGCTCTGTCGTCATGCCTTTGGCTTTTGATTTTAATCATCTACGTTATAAAAGGATAAAAAGGCAAATCGTCATAAAGCATCCTTATGGAGTGGGGTAGATTATTTTCTGCAGGGTTCACTCTTGCATTTTAAATGTACTTCATCATGACTTTAGGTTTTAAGAAATAGCAGTTATCTCCCTCACCATGTCTGGAAAATGACTTGCTATTCTCTAGTTAAGATAAATGGATCTGAGATAATACCATTTCAAGTTAGCTTTCCTCCCTTTTCCCTCTAAGACTTGATTAGAAAATAAGCATTTCGTGGGGTTTTTGTGATAATGATTAAGTGGGATGAATCGTTGGATAAAATCAGCTAAGTTATTTAAAATGAGCTTGTTAATTTCTGCCACTTACCCTTAAATAAGCTTTTAAGGATTCACTTGCCTTTTTTTTTTTAATAGGTTAGAAGTTGTAATAGCTCACTGTCTTTAAATCAACACAGCTATAAAGATGGTTTTGTTGCATTCATAAGAAGAAACATTTTAAATGTAGAGTAGGGTTTTTTGCTTTTTGTGTAGTGTTCTAAGAATAGAGTTTCTGGGGTATTTGCTTAGGAAAATCATGTGGAAACCACAGGAAAGTTGCTCATTTTGATAGCTGGTTTCTTATAGGTGATCTCCTAAGTGTATTTCTGTAGAGGGATAAATAGTACATTACCCTTCTATTTCAAGCGCAAAAAAATTTAAGCAATACTTATGTTTCACTGTGGCAAATTAGAAAATTTTTTAATATTCTTGAATTGGAATTCATGAATTTGTACTCATGAAACTACTTAGTTAAAATATTGCTTTCAAATTAGGATAAATTATAAGACTTTAAAAAATTTGACTTAATTATTTTGTGAAATGTTTTTGGCTATTTTTGTAGATAGGTTTCCTTTCACATTTTTAAAAGTTTAGCAGAGATAAAATGTTTTACACTACTTTCTAAAAGTAACAGGAGTTAAGTCATTTTGCACAGGAAAGAGTCTTGGAATATTAATGTGAACAACTATTCCAGAAGCCATTTGTAGTTTTTATTAAAATGTTGGTGTGGTGTGGGTTTTTTGAAGAAGTTAAGTGTATACTCATTTTGGGGGTGGTTGAGGGGTACCATGCAGATATTGTCTAATAGACTTAAGTTTTAGAACTATTTTTTATGTTCACAGTAATATTTAGTGGAAGATTTTTGATATGTCCTATGTCCGCCCCACCATTTTCATGCGTTAGTATTTTCTAGTAAACCTCACTAATACTTTTAATATCAGTTTGGCATTGATAATTCAAATGTGTAAAAAATGCCAGTTAATTTCTTGGTATCATCGTTAGTTGTAGTTTGAAAAGGAGTCTATGGACCCTTTTCAAAGGAAAATAGACTTTGCAGACCTCAGAGGCCATGTTTTCAGACAGCACTTTGTGGATGAGTGGTATTTAAGTGTAAGTACTGAATTAAAACACTTGCTCATTAAAGACATAATTTATAATCATTAACTTAACAGGTCTTAAAAAACATATTTGGTAAGAATACTTAGTTTGGGTATCTCTGAAAGTATTTGATGTAAGGAATCTTGAGATTTTTCAATAGTTAATACTGATATCCCCAAATATTCCAAATTAATGTATTCTTACTATGTTTCTACCTTTCTGCATAGTCATTTGGGTTTCCCCAGAAGGCAGGACAGTTGTTCAAAATAGGGTAAATCTATTAGCATAGTAAAATTTGAGTTTAAGATACAGAGTAGCAATAGTAGACTATAAGAGTAGTAGAGATTGAGATTTTAGATTTTAGGGATATTTTATTATTTGTCTTAGTGGAGTCAGGAAATTGGGTTCCATGTTTGGAAGTGTGAGGTGTTTCTGTAGAACTTAAAATTATGTCCAGATGGTAGCCATTGGTTTGGATTTATTGCTTTAAAAATGGTTTTCTTCATTTATTGTATCATTTATTAATTTGATTTGCTCTTATGATTTGAAAGATTTACAGGAGAGTTGGAAATGAATTAGATATTGGTTTTTTCAAGTGGAAGATAGGGTTTCGGGAATTTTTGGTGTTAAATTGTCATTTTACTTGTAGAAAGGATTTTTAAAAATTGGTTGTAAAATTCACATACAGTCAAATGCACAGACCTTAAGGATGGATTCATTTAGCATTGATAAATTTATACTCTCAGGTAACCAGTAGTCCAATCAGAATATATAACATTTCTGTCACCTTTTTCTGGGGCCACTTTCAATTAAGGACCAGTTGTTAAGTTTTCAGATTTTTTGTTTCTAAATAATTTGCAGATGTCTCCTTGGAATTTCTACCTTTTTGCTAAAAGATGATTAATTCTCCCCTTGGAACAAAGACAACCATTTTGTAATACCCTTAGTTATGCCTCCTTATATTGCTTCACTTTTAATAGGTAATTGTGAAGTGAATATCCTAATTCTGGCGTTAAGGTCAATTACAGGGTCCAAGGATTAATTATATTTCATTTTCTTTCCACAGTTAAGTTGCTTTTACAGAATTAACAGGTCTGCAAGAAATAAAAAGGTAAGATATCCAGAGCTTAAGGCTTTTCACAGAGGCTTGACAAAAAAAAAAGAATAGAATAGTACACCTGGGTATGCATGGCTTCTGTACTTTATGTCTGGCCAGTGATGCACTAGTGGTAGGCAGTTTGTTATCATGAGAAGAAATTATATACTGTCCATAGATGGCTTTTATAAGTATGTAAAATTTGTTGTGGTTGGTAAAATTCTTTAATCTACAAAGCTCTCATGTTTCACTAGCAGATCTGTCTGAAAATAGTTTGGTCTTGTTGTGAAGTAGCACTTGGCAGACTTACAGAGATGTGACATTTTTTTCTACTCACACTGTATAGGATAGGTGATAGGAAATGTTTCTTCAAAGTAGCTGGTTTATTTGTTTGTTTAGTTGAGAGAAAATTTATTCCATTTGTTTAAAGAATTAGATACAATCAATATCTTTGTGAACTCATATCTTGTTTTCATTTATAAATGCTGAAGAAGGTAGGGACCAGTAATTATTAAGCTTAGTTTTGGATTAGGTACTTTAAAAATAAGACTTGCTATTATGTGTACCTTTCTGTCTGCAGGTCATTATTGCTGTGGTTTGCGCTCAGCATGGCTGTAGTCATCCGTTTACTGGGGCTTCCTTTTATTGCGGGGCCTGTGGATATCCGTCACTTCTTCACGGGATTGACTATTCCTGATGGAGGAGTGCATATAATTGGAGGGGAAATTGGGGAGGCTTTTATTATTTTTGCAACAGATGAAGATGCAAGACGTGCTGTAAGTCGTTCAGGAGGGTTTATCAAGGATTCATCTGTAGAGCTCTTTCTTAGTAGTAAGGCAGAAATGCAGAAGACTATAGAAATGAAAAGAACTGACCGCATGGGAAGAGAGAGACCAGGATCTGGGGCATCAGGGGTTGGCAGCTTATCTAATTTTGTTGAGGCTATTAAAGAAGAAGGAAGTAATTCTGGATATGGTTCTCCGATTAATCAAGATGCTGGGTTTCATACTAATGGTACAGGACATGGTGATTTAAGGCCAAGAAAGACACGGCCATTGAAAGCTGAGAATCCTTACTTGTTTCTACGAGGCTTGCCTTACTTAGTAAATGAAGATGATGTACGTGTTTTTTTCTCTGGTTTATGTGTGGATGGAGTAATTTTCTTAAAGCATCATGATGGCCGAAATAATGGTGATGCCATAGTAAAGTTTGCCTCATGTATTGATGCTTCAGGAGGTCTTAAATGTCATAGAAGTTTTATGGGTTCAAGATTTATTGAAGTAATGCAAGGCTCAGAACAACAGTGGATTGATTTTGGAGGTAATTTAATTAAGGAAGGTGAGACTTCTATGAGGACTGAAGAACATACACCACCAAGAGGAATTAATGATAGACATTTTCGGAAACGATCTCATTCAAAATCTCCCAGAAGAACATGTTCTCGTTCTCCTCTCGGATTTTATGTTCACTTAAAAAATCTGTCTGTAAGTATCAACAAAAGAGACTTAAGAAATTTTTTTAGAGATACTGATCTGACAAATGAACAGATTAGGTTTTTATATAAAGATGAAAGAAGAACAAGATATGCCTTTGTGATGTTCAAGACGCTGAAAGACTATAACACTGCTCTGGGTTTACATAAGACTGTTTTACAATATCGTCCAGTTTATATTGATCCAGTTTCTAGGGAACAGATGCTGAAGTTCATTGAGTGTTACGAAAAGAAAAGACCAGCATCAGCAGAGAAAGAGAGACTTGGACAGGTCTCACAAAAACACTCTCAAGAAGGCTACTCTGGCCAGAAACTGTGCATATATATAAGAAATTTTCCATTTGATGTTACAAAAGTTGAAGTGCAGAAGTTCTTTGCTGACTTTTCTCTTGCTGAGGATGACATTTGCTTGCTTTATGATGACAAAGGAGTTGGTCTAGGAGAAGCGTTGGTGAAATTCAAATCAGAAGAACAGGCCGTGAAAGCTGAACGTTTAAACCGACGGAGATTCTTGGGGACAGAGGTGTTGTTAAGGCTCATATCTGAGGCACAAATGCAGGAGTTTGGTGTAAATTTTTCTTCAATGTCTAGTGAAAGAATGCATGACCAGTCTTGTGATAGAGATGATCATTCCCATTCATTTGACTCAAATGATCCACCAATATACGCAGTTGGCCCTTCGGAAAACTTTAGGCATCAGCAAGAGGACTTGAGGCAACTGGACAATTTCAAGCATCCTCAGGGGGATTTCCGACCACCTGATAGACGCCCTCCAGAAGACTTTAGGCATTCCCCAGAGGATTTCAGGCGGTCCCCGGAAAACTTCAGGCGCCTTCGGGAGGAACACTTCAGGCGGCCTCCTGAGGACTTCAGGCACTCTTGGGAGGAAGATTTCCGGTACCCAAGGGAGGAGGACTGGAGGCGGCCACCTGAGGAGGATTTCAGGCGACCTCCCAAGGAAGATTTCAGGAGACCCCAGGAGGAGGACTGGAGGCGGCCACCAGAGGGAGACTTGAGGAGGCCACCTGAGGAGGATTGGAGGCGGCCTCCTGAGGAAGACTTCAGACGACTTCCTCCAGGGGAATGGAGGCGACAACCTGAGGAAGACTTTAGGCGGCCCCTGGAGGAGGATTTCAGGCGACCTCCTGAGGAGGACTTCCGGCGACCCCACCAGGAGGACTTCAGGCGGCCCCATGAGGATGACTTCAGGCGGTCTCCTGAGGAGGATCTCCGAGGTTCTCCCGACGACTTCAGGCGGCCGCCCCCGGAGCACTTCCGGCGGCCGCCCCCGGAGCACTTCCGACGGCCGCCCCCGGAGCACTTCCGTCGGCCGCCCCCGGAGCACTTTCGACGACCACCTCAGGAGCATTTCCGGCGGCCACCACAGGAGCACTTCAGGCGGCCATCCCAGGAGCATTTTAGACGACCGCCTCAGGAGCTTTTCAGGCGGCCACCCCAGGAACATTTCAGGCGCCCTCGAGAGGAAGATTTTAGGCACCCACAGGATGAAGATTTCAGGGGCCCTCCGGACGAAGACTTTAGGCACCCTCCGGAAGAGGACTTCAGGAGTTCTCAGGAGGAAGATTTTAGAAGCCCTTCTGATGAGGACTTCAGGCGGCTCCCGGAGGAAGACCTCAGGGAAGCTCCAGAGGAGGACTCCAGAGTTCCTGACAGTTTTAGACTTCCTGGTGAGGAGTTTAGAAGCCCCCCTGATTTTAGAAGTCATCGTCCTTTTGTGAATTTTGGTCGCCCAGAAGGTGGCAAATTTGATTTTGGAAAGCGTAATATGGGAAGTTTTCCTGAGGGGAGATTTATGCCTGATCCAAAATTAAATTGTAATTCAGGTAGAGTAACACCTATTAAGATAATGAATCTTCCATTTAAAGCTAATGTTAATGAGATTTTAGACTTTTTCCATGGTTATAGAATCATACCTGATTCAGTTTCAATACAGTATAATGAGCAAGGATTACCTACAGGGGAAGCCATTGTTGCCATGATAAACTACAATGAAGCTATGGCTGCTATTAAAGATCTGAATGATAGACCGGTTGGCCCCCGCAAGGTTAAGTTAATTTTGCTCTAGAGAGCATTTCTAAATTCAGAATTATCTCCCCACAGTATTGATGCAGTAAAATGCATTTTTAAGTGTTTATTTTTAATTATCTAATGAAAAGAAACATTCTGACCTGTGAACAGAAGAAATGTAAATAGAATGTGAATCTGGTTTTCTTTTGCTTGCAAATTGCCATTCACTTTTTCTAACTTAAAAATATATATGCTTTTTTTTTTTGATGGGGGTGGGGTGGGGTGGGCTGGGGGGAGAACTAATTCCCTGAGTGCAGTAATTTTTGTTGATGTCATGGGTAAATGTCAAGACTTGTATAAAGTAGAAAACTGTTTGGGGAAGACAAGTTTTATGTTTACTTTTGTTTCCATTCTGTAGTCTACATCTCTGCTCATATTGTATAAGGAAATGGTCAGTGACTGACTGTTCAGGGTTAGCATTTTTATTGCTAACTGTCTGCAGAATTAATGTCCTCTTCCTTGTCTGAGATATTACTGTGTTAAGCCTCTCCTTAATCATAAATAGTTCAAAATTGACAGACTGTGAACGTGAAGTTTACTTATGTAAAAGGCTTAGGAAATTTAACTTTCAAAGTTTTTATAAAAATAAAAAAATTGCAACTGAATAGATGAACTAATTAACTTGTATTTGTATATAGAGAAAAAATAATTACAGCTCCTTTTGTGAAGGTTTTCAACAGCTATATTAAATAATATGACAGGAGGGACCACATATTCTATAATAGTGTATGAGTTCTTTGTGTAGTTCTGTGGTTTCTTCCAACATCTCATCAACCAAACTGGTAAGATTTGCTCAGTACTTAAAAGACAAAAAAGTAATTATAGGTACAAGGGGACCTTCAGGTTCTTGTTGTGACGTATCTGATAAATGGACATAGTTTGTGTTTATAGGAAGAATTTACTGATGATTTATATAACTTGTGGTTTTTTATTCTTAATTTCAAAACTTTTTTATCCGAAGATTCAGTGACTAACTGTAACAAGAATTTTGTGAGATTGAATTTTTACTTCTTTGATATTTGACACTGTAGAGATTTTGCAAATACTGGATTTGATTTTTCATACCATAATAATAATGCTAACATTGGGCACTTTCTATGTGCTAGGCAGTGTAAGTGCTTTACATGCATAATGTCAATCTTAATATTCCCTAAGAGGCTGACAAGTATTTAATTCACAAATGAGATAAATTCAGAGTTTAAGTAACTTGCCTAAAGTCATAGTTGTAAATTATAAAGCCAGTTTCAACCAGACTTACTCACTCTAGTTCACGCTGTTAATACTTTGGCCTACTAACTTTGTTAAATGGTAATTTTTAATTTTAGTAAGACCATGCTGGGCTTTCTTGGTGGCTCAGTGGTGAAGAACCTGCCTGCCAGTGCAGGAGACATGGGTTCAATCGTGGGTCCGGAAGATTCCCTTGAGAAGGAAATGACAACCTACTCCATGATTCTTGCCTGGGAAATCCCACGGACAGAGGAACCTGGCAGGCTATGTCCATGGGGTCACAAAAGAATCTGACATGACTTAAGTGACTAAAGAAGACCATGCTAAAAATATTTTCAAAACAGTAAAGGATATTTTCTTACCTCCATTATTGCTTTAAAAATAGCATTAAAAAAGATGAAATTAATATGCCCAAACATCATGAATACAAGACAAAGTTATTAGAAGTTATTATATATCCAGGGATTCTCTATGAGACATGAGACAGACAATATATATTGGCTTCTAATTTAAAATTGTTCATTTTATCAAACATGGTTTGATTTTGGTTGGTCTTTTATAATTTACATAAAAGTTTATTTCCCTCAATTTTGTGATAGATATTTGCCACACTGAACAAATAATAAAATTTGAATTTATATACAGTAGTTTGGAGGGTATTGTAGACTACTTTTCAGTATTTAGCCATTTAGTACTGTAGTACTCATCTTTAGTGATATAAAGAAGTCTAAGAAAAACCAACCGAAGTTTCTGTGTTTTTAATTATGTTGAACATCCCACTTGCTAGTAAAATGAATTAACTGGTAAATTTGGTTCAGAAAAGTACATCAGTATGGCACTTGAAACTAGTAAGCTTACAAGCTAGGAAAATGACAATAGGAAGAAAACATTTTTTAAGTGCTCAGAGATTGTATGGTTTATTTGATCACTCTTAACTGACAAGTGTATTGGAAGACCTAAAAATGCTTCTCAAATACATATAAATAAATGAAAGCTATGATGAAGCTTAAGGTGAAGTATAACTTAATATGGAACTGCTTCTCAAGTCTAGGCTAGGATGGAATGGTGGTGGTAATTAAAAGGCTATCACAATAGTAAGCACAGGCTTCGTATTTTGATTGTAAAATTACTGGATTGATAAGAATTCTACTCCATGATCTTCAGTTTAATATGTTTTTTAACTTTTTAAAGTTTGCTACAGAAAACTGGCTTCTACTGCTTGGGAGCCATTTCTGCACATCTGTTCACGACTCTGCCTTCACTGACATGTTGGTAACTTAAATTGGCCATGATAGGAGTTATTTACACCATGGAAACTGGTAAGTGCAGAATATCAGGGCATTTTCCACCTCAGTGAGCCAGTTTACCAACACACCACCAATTTCAAACATGTAAAAGAGAACAGTGCACTAAATCCTCATAAACCCATTGCCCAGCTTCAATAATTACCTCATAGCCAGTTGTGTTTCCTCTCCTAGATTTATTAGGTATTTTAGTGGCATATTGTTTATCAAGTTTAATATCCAGTGGCATTTTAACTATCTTAAAGCCAAACATTTTTGACTTGAGGCATCTGAAAAATATAGATAATGCCTAGAAAGTAAGCTTAATCTCATAACCAAGAGATAGTAAGACTCCTTAGGAGTGCACACTTAACACACTTACTGACAATACTCTCATGAGTATTGGCTCTTGGTCCATATATCACCTATTAAGCAGTGACCCTATCACCTCCATCTCTGCATTAAATGTTAGCTAATATTTAGTGAACTGTAATAGGTACTATATGATCTTTATATATGAATTAACTGTATAGTTTCAATAACCCTAATATACCTATTTTGGAGACAAATGGAAGCCTGTAGCCAACCAACTAGTCAGACTGGTTGCCTGTCTTTTTATAAGGAAGCTAAAAAGGTTTTTATATTTTAAAGTATGGTTACCTAAGTATGTAATAGCCTTGATTTTGTCAGCTCAACAACTGTAGAAATAGTTACTTTATAACCCTTTTAAGACCTTACCTTGTGGCTTTAGTGGTAAAGAACCTGCCTCTGAATGCAAGATACGGGTCCGATCCCTGGGCCACGCAGATTCCTTGAAGGCAATGGCAATCCGTTCCAGTATTCTTGCCTGGGAAATCCCATGGACAGAGAGCCCTGGTGGGCTCCAGTCCATGAGGTCACAAAGGCTGGACACAACTTAGCGAGTAAACAGCAACCCTTTCAGGTTTGCCAACCTGTTGCTGGCCTAAAAATTAATTATATGTGAAAGTATTATGTGTAATAGTCCTTTTGTCCTTAGAATATTTTTTAAATAGAGCATATGTTTTATATCATAATTTGATTGCTTTAAATATCAGGCACTATTTTAATTTTACAAATAGGGCAACTGATGCTCAAGAGAAGTGAGTTGCAATCATAATCTGCAAGAGAAATACTATAACCTTGTTTTTTTCACCAAGCTACAATACCAAGGTTAAATACTGAGAAAATGCAGTGACAGCCTCAGCTTTTATGAATGTAAATTTATTTGTGCATGCTGTGTGCTAAGTCACTTTAGTTGTATCCGACTCTGTGATGCTGTGGACTGCAGCCCTTCAGGCTCCTCTGTCCATTGGGTTCTCCAGGCAAGAGTACTGGAGTGGGTGGCCATGCCCTTCAGGACATCTTCCCAATCCAGGGATCAAATCAACCTCTCTCACATCTCCTACATTGGCAGGTGGGTTCTTTACCACTACCACCACCTGGGATATTTATTTACAGTTTTAAAATGTTTTGAATATTTTATTTACTTAAGTAACTATCACTTAGGACTATTTTCAGGAAGCAATGCTTTAAGAACAGATCACAAATAATTTCAAAAGTCAAAAAAGCATTCTAGAAAAGTATTTTTGTTATGAATAACTGCTTTTTGTGGTAATCCCAGATAATATCAGTTTCCTAATTTTTACATGCCAGACTGGGATCTATGAAATAATAAGTACAATTCTCCATCCAAAGAAATAAAAGCATGAGATATACTGAAAAGCTTTGATTAAACTGTTTTCTATTTTCAAGAAAGCGAGTGACTGTGTACTCTTATTGACTATATGGTAGGCTGATAAAATATATAACTTTTTACTGATTTATGATTTGCTATATTTTTTAAGGGAAACATTCCAACAAATTCTAGCTTTCCAAAAGTTGTGGTGCCATATATAGTGCTTTAGTTTGACAGTGGTTTTGTTTTAAAACCAGAATCAAGCTGAATGTAGCTTTTTAAAGCTAAAATTTATGCTTATGTATAGTTGTAAAACACTGATAGTGCCCTATTCCTATTATTTGAGAGTGACTATAATACTCTTGTTTAAAAGTAAATTTATATACTGAACGAGGAAACTTTAGGTTGTAGTAAAAGTGAAAAAGAAAGTACAAAGGAAAAAGAACACATCTTTTTGATGAATGCTTTATGGAATAAAATTTGTATTTAATCAGAATGACTATCTAGGACCCTGTTCTGGTGTTGAAAGCATGGTGTCTTAATCTGAAGGAAGTAAGTGGAATTGTTAAATCTCTTTTGTTATTTACCTACTACAACCAACTAGGTTAGTGCATTAATTTGAAACAGTTCCAAAATACATTGTTTTTAAAAAACAATGGAACCTATAAAAAAGATAGTATGATGCTAGATAGAAATGTTGAAATGACTGATGGGTAATATTTTTTAAAACTTCCATTTTTGGTTGGCATAAATTTCCTTTAATAATTTCTACATTTAGGATTTCATTTGAGG